TGAAATAAATAATAATGTAAGGCATGTACATCTTATATATTATTCTATACACGATCACCCCCTCCAACAAGCTGATATCAACTGCATTTTAAAATCGATATTCAATTTGACCTAGTCAAGTGTTTGAAAGCAGTAGTGACGTCACGAGTTGCTCTAATGACAAAACGCTATCACCTGGCAACTGTATATATGGGCAATCCTGATTAATATTGACGTAATATTCCGGAAATGATGATTGGTAACCTAAGTAGAGTCTTATCTCTGTATCTTTCACCGATCCCGGTATCTGTTCTAAGGATGGACGCTGTAACAAGTCAAAATGGGAATATTTAAAAGTGCTACAATTGTTTGATGTATTCCGAGTGAAATGTTCCATCTAATAAATGACAACGAGTAAATCAAATGTGAGGTAGCTGAGCTTGTTCCCATGGAAACCGTGGATGTGCGAATACCACCCTCTGCAGTGGTAAGCTTTACCGTGGCTGACATTTGGAATTGGAACTTCATCAGAATGCATACAGTCGAGATTCATAATTCAAAAACTCAGTGAGAGTTCGGTTGCCCTGAGTTTCACCTTTTGTCTAGCTAGCCGATAATATTTTGTGACAAAGGTGTGTTAGCCACGACCACCCTTAATCAAATAAAGACATGTGTCAACGTATCACAGCAACAATAATGTATTCTCTCGTTTTGCCTCATTTGATTGTTATTGATGCTTTTTAAAACTGGTTTTCAGACCATCAGTAAAAGGTTTCGATTTTATAGGTTTGTTTTTGTTTTCATGCATTTTTTATTAAATATTTAATATTTCGTCACGCGTAGGAAACTCCAGGAGTTCTGTTTTCAGTAATATGGAACAGTTGTGTTTTTCATGACGACGCATCTAAGAAAAAAAACCGATTTAGTAACGTTGAAATATGTTCGAGGAGCACCGAATAAGATCGAATAATTTCGGGGTGTACTCCCCAGGTCTTATGATACGGATGTGCTTTATATACCTCCCGGCATAGAGCAGGTAGCCGTCTAATAAGACCGAAAAACACCGATTGGGCCTAATAATACACACTGCGTTTGGCTAAATAACAAACGATTACATTGAAAACAAAATCCAAAAAAAAAGACCAAAATACATTCTGTAGTGCCTTAAATGATCGCGTGGTGGCGCTGATACACATAGTAGCATATTGGTTTAGCCACACACACGGCTGTCATAAGGACGAGTGTTTGTGCATGTAAAACACGTACAGGTGTTTATGAAATCAATATTTGCTTAAATCCACGAGATCCGAACATACTCGAAATATTTTGAGTATATTATGGGTCAGTGCGCAACTGCCAAACACGATCATTCAGCTGATAAACCGAATATGATATATAGAAGATAATATTTGGTAATCGTAGTCCTAAATAACTATTAAACATAGCTAGACCTTTCGAGCAATGGCTCTTTATCGATAGCATAGAAGAAAATGTTATAACGTACAGATGATAAACCGGCTGACGTAGGCTAACGTAGGCTAACGTAGATAACGTAGGCTGATAAACCGGATCAATAAGTGCGTCAGAACACTGCGTAGGTCCAGGGCTAGTTCGGACCTCACGGTTTCCAGTGACAACAAATAACATACGGATTTTCTCGCTTGAGATAGTTTAGCGAGTAAAGAATCACGTGATACAGGTGACCAGCTTTTCGGCCTATCACGGCGAGCCAGATTAGTGCCATCTTGCTCACTACTTTTTAGTGTGTCGTTATCATATCGTTATTAAATTATGCCACGGTTGTATGATAGTTATAAAAAAAAAGAATGAATGCAAAACTTTGCTGAAAAAATTCGACGATATAAACAATATGGGGTTTACAGGTGTTTTCAATCACATGTGACCAGATAAAATAGCACCTGTGATGCGTTGACTTACCCAACCACGCGAGATCTCGCAAAGCATTGAAAAGAGTATACTAGTATTTTCTTCGTATCCGGTTTGATAAAAACACAATGCACACATTCTTTTAAAAAATAAACAACAACATCAATTATGACTAATATTACAAAAAGAATTTTAATATCCCGGCTTCATCATGATTCGGGGTTTGCTTTCTGGCAAATATCTGGTTAGCTTGACGAAGTCGCGGGAGTTGCGCCCTCCGATGTGCTCCAAACCCAACACGGTTAGTGAGGTATGATGCCGTTCGGCCGGCGAGGGTCTACTCACGCCTACATGTCTGGCAAATATCTGGTTTACGCGTAACATTTACGCCGTTGTAGCACCGCCGTAAATTTAACGACGGTGTTCTTTTTTACCGTGTGACCAGTTTACGCCGGTGTAAAAATGGCGGAAATTACACCGGCGAAAACTGTTTGACCAGAGTCCGCGATCAGACCTAAATTCTGAACAAAACACGTTGAAATAGCTGCACGCAACTGAATTCTGTGTACAATATATTTTACACGCCTTGTATCCTCGGGGCGGACTCACGTCACAGACGTTCCGCGTTGCTAAGACGCGCACCACTGTACCATGCATTTCTATGGGCTCTGTGCGCGCTGCTGTAGAACGCCGGTCGAGCCGGTGAAAATTTGAGAAAACAACACAAACTCAACTTTGAAGTAATCCTGAACAACCAAATTTATATATGTTACACACGTAGGGCTAATCTTGTTACACTGTTCAGGGGAGTCTCAACAACCATCCCCAAGTACCGTTTTCTGCGAGTTTTTGGCCTTTGTTTTCACCGTGAGGGTTGCCAGGCGGTGAAAATGCCCGGATGTCCGCCCCCGAGAATACAACGCACGAGATAGGAGTTTTGGGAGACCTTGAATGTCGCATGAGGAAGTGCGCCACCACATGACGAATTCTAAATTAGTGCATTCGTTCTAAGTATTCCACCCAGACAGGCGGTGAAATACCGAAATAACAACCACAGAATGATAACTCGACTTTCTTTTTTGTTTGTATCGAAATTCTATTTTGATTCAGTCTTTCTTCAAACCACCGCGATTAATATCGCTGATACTTGTAGTAGGAGTCAAATATTAAATATCTCATTTATAAATCAGTTGAGATGTTGTCTAATTTATGCGAGTAAAATTTCGAAGCAGCCATTATTTTATGTTTGATAAAATTATGGGCTCGTCCGGGATTTGAACCCGTGACCTCTCGCACCCAAAGCGAGAATCATACCCCTAGACCAACGATCCGATTCCGTCTAATGAGTTAGGCGAGAAATTAAAAAAATCAGTTTAATTCTGTTTTGTGACTGATTTGACAGGTTTTGAAATAGCATTTAGCAAATCTCTATTTAATTCCGTTTCAGGGTAAAGATTCAGCAAACGAAATCAAGAACTTATCTTCAAACTTTCGAGTATAATAGCAGTCCAAGAGACTGGCCATAATGACATGTAAATCTCAATTGCAATGGCGTTATCGTTTATATCCCGCAATATCCCGTATGATTACGATAGTTTCTACTATTGTTTTTTCTTATTGTTTTTTCAATCGAATTTTATAACTTGAATTAAAAAGCAGGCATAATACTTGCAATGTTTGACAAAAAATATGGGCTCGTCCGGAATTTGAATCAAAGACTTCTCGCACTCAAAACGAGAATCCCTAGACCACTCGTAGACAACTCAGGTAAATTTATGCAAGGGCTAATCTTATTTCGAGGATTTTTGGGAAGTGTTCGGAACATGCAAAATGTTTCGCTCAATGCAAGCGGTAATTGTGTCAGAAGAAATATTTTTAATTTTTCAACACTTTGTAGAAACACTTTGAACAATTTTGAACAGCGATTGTTTCAGACTGACAATAGCATAATTGATAGTTGTATAAACAGTGATTTATTATTAAGGTCAAGTTTTTTGCGTAAATATAGACGCCTTCTTTATAAATAATGCTATTTTTAAGACCTTTGAGTCTGAAAAAAAGTATAATAATAATAATAATAATAATAATAAACATGTGTTGGAATGATTCAGTGGGTCTTGCAGCGCCCACAAGAGGAAACACGTTTCGTCAAATCTTAAAGGGCGGTAGTTGCATGCGCGAGATATATTGGTCTCATATAAACAAAGATGGTGACTTTGACTATTTCGCAGATCAATGAGTAAAAACTGGGACGTTTCTAAGCTTTAATTAGGTATTTCTATGTGATTGGAAGGTATCGAAGGAGTCACTGGCGGTATTCAGTGCAAGTTGCGCCCAGGTCAAACTCGCTTCATACTTGTGATTTCCATTTGGAGAGCGCATTCGATTGTAAGAAAATCAATGTTTATCAACACAAATTTCGCACATGCGCAGCGCGACGACCACCGCGCTTTAAGCTCGATCTACAGTCACGTGAGAGTTTCAGGGGTCAAATGTGTGTCTCTCTGTACCAATGAGATTGTAGTTAACATCATAGGCGGTATCTGCGGATATGCAGTAGTTGTATCAAAGTTTCTGATTCGATGTCCGTATTGTTTTTGTGAATAATAGGGTCATTCACCAGGTGACATGATACAATTAATATTTGTTGTGTTACTCTTCAAGTAAAACCCCTTCGTTATGCATTACCCAAAACACTGTAATATGACGTCACCATATAATAATTTTGAATTATGCTTATGGCAAGATTGAAATTAATTAACACCAAACATATACACAAAATGGTCTAAAGGGTTACTATGGGCTAAATTGATATTCACAATGACGCAATAATAAAAATGCGATGCACGAGGTGATGTAACTATGGCGACGTCGACCCAACCCACCACCTCACTTCGACATGTAGTGCAAACTCAATGCTTTAAGGTGCTCTGCAGAATTCAGTTAAACTCTAAATGCTGTTACCTATCCACAAGTAAAAAGTGGTCGTGTTTTGGATGGCAACTACTTAGTGTATCGCCATCCCCGAAATTGATCAAGATAGGGTAGCATAGCACGATCGCTTAAGCACCAAAGTGTTAACATATTTGTCATAGATAAAAGATTATGTTCTCATCTTGATATGAATCCCCCAGGTGAAATCAGATGCTGCTTTTGTGGATGATGTTGGTTCATGCAAGTCCAAATTCCAACTACAATCCCTGGTCTTAGACGAAAATGGTCGCTGCGATCTCGTTGAGAGACGGCCACGAGACTTAGACGAGACCCGAGTGCACGGAACGGTAACCTCTGAACGAATCCAGGTTAGCTCTATAGGGAATATACCTCGGACAGACTTAGCTAATGAGACAAGATTAATTAACAGCATTTGGACATCAAAATATTAAATATATTGCGACTCAGATACCTGTATATTGTATGTTGCCGACAGGAAAATCAATATGTAGATACGGTGTCACAGTGGAGAAGTAAGGATTATGAGTTTTCCCAGTGACTTTTTCGCTTCAGAGGCGGCGGCAGTAAATTTTACATGGAATGGCGAGGTCTGCTCGCCAACCTCGCGCCTTACTAAGGGGTCCGGCGGCATTCTCCCCACTAAAAAAATGAAATCTAGACCCTCTGAAACGCTATTTCCTGCATTTTGAGGGGATAATGTTGCTGACACCAAAGTTTTCAGCTTGATTTGGGAGGGGCGATCCCCCATTTTTTTTCGAGTGGCGGACCCCCCCCCCCCCTCCTGTGCCGCCGCCACTGAGCTTAAAATGTCAACGATTATTATATGTTCCCACCCTACCCGGTCCGAGGTTTTATTAAATTATCGTATAGCTCGCAGCCCGCACAGTGTAACAAACAAAATATACGGATTAGTCCGCCATGTTTTGAACGCCACCCATAATTCAATTCGTTTGTGTGATTACAGTCCAGTTTGACCTTGGCACTCACTCTGGACATACCGTTGATTGTACGCTGCTTGCGGTCATATTCAGCATGGAAACGCTACACACAGTCACCTTCACTCAGCCGAGATTTTTCGTCGATGGCTGGCGGAGAATTTACCAGGCATTCGGTGAGAATGAATTTTTACTAAACACTGTCGGTAAGTGATATGTCAATCGTTTTTATTTTATTTATGTACATTTTTATGATAATACATGTATTGGGAACCATCTCTCACATAACCAAGTATTATATATACGCAGAAATCAGCACGATGGGAAAAACAGTCCCAAATAAATTGCTATGACAACATTGAGTATAGTTAATAGAGTATATAGTTATGGCTTGCATCCCCACCAGTATATTGACGTGCATGCTTTTGATGATTAAATAAATGTCACACAAAGGTCACATTCAAATGACGGGCCTTGTTTATTTCGTGCCCATGGTATGGTGTAATAATGAATCGTGTATTCGAGGTCTACCGCTTACCGTTTATTGCCGTCGCGATTGTTTCTGTGGTCAACATAACTCAACAATTTTCGTTCAATTTTCGTAAAAATTAAAATATATCAATGAGTCTGAAACTTAAGAACTCAACTATTTCCAATCATGGAGGTGGCTGGAAAATTTGGAATCCAGGTATTGCAGGAAAAAATGTTGCCACTTTCAAGAAAAAATAAATTGTACTGACAAGACAGCGCAAAAAAAAAAAAAAAATATATCTGCATTGGTTGCACTCATCCACCCCACCCCATTGTAAATTCTTGAACCAATGTTTGAAGTACAACGGTTACACAGACAATAACTTGAATAGATGATACGGGGGTTCACATTTCTTTTTTTTCTTCTCTCAATTACTTTGCGTTTTGCATGTTGTGCCATGAATGAGATATCCGCTCACCCACGAACATATTCTATAACCTAATACGATGTTGAAGCAAAAATTAGTAACAGTGCATACGACTAACTTAATATGTAATGAACATCATATACATTCTGGAAGATAGTCGAAATATTTGATTTACTCATTACTTTATATAATACCCTCTGTTACTGTAACAATGTTAACATACTTAGTCAATATTACATCATGTTGAATTCTTTAACTTTCTCTATAGGTACAGTATTGGTGATCAATATTACCTACTGGACCGTAGGGTTACTCTTGCTCTCCATCGATTTGACAAGAAAACCAGCATTTCTATGGAAGTATAAAGTCCAGCCAGATAAAAACGCCCCGGTCAGCATTACGTTTCATTATGCATACCTTCATACAGTCGGATATTGCCTACCATACTGCAAATGCGGTTCACGTTGAGATAAATCGAATGTTAGATTTCTTGGACACACAAAACAGCAATCACTCCGACGTCCTTCTTGGAGTCGAGTGAAATCATTTCATATTTTCGTAATGTGGACTACACATGTGTAATACTTTTTATAGATGATTTTCCGTTCATCTCCGAGTCGGGATCTCGCTTATGCGTGAAAAGCACGGATCAAACGTCTGCAACAAAGATCGAACAATTTGATACTGAATTTATGTTTCTTTTTTATAGCTCAATGTCGTAATGGCGATCCTTGTCTATCATCAAATGTGTACAGCACATTATTAAGCATGGAAATGTCCCCAAAACATATTTTCGCGTTTGACGAACCCCACGCGATGTTCGAAAGCCCCCTACGACGCTATGACCTTTGTTTGTCCTGTTTTTCCATTCGATTTCATGCATAACGGGGGATCTCGCAGCCAACGGAAACTTATCCATTGCGTAGTTTGTTATTATGTACTGCGCATGGCAAAACGTTGTATATGTCGGATGTCACAAATGCTGGCGATGTGTAACTTAATTGTCTTACTACTCCTCAGCTGGACCCATCAGTACTTCCTGGTGTCTTCAGGACAACTATTTTCAACATGGTAGTGGTATTTTATTTGTGTTCTGTGTTCTTCTACAAAGCCGGCCAATGGCGGGGTTATTCTAGTAGTTGTTCAGTTGAAGACGTGCCGACAATACCCAGAATTCTCTTCGATTTGATAGTTGCCGTCGTTGGGGAAGAAGTGGTTTTCTATTACACACACCGGTAAATTGTGCATTAGTTGTATTGTTGAAATCTTGGGGTCACATATCGTGGTACTTTCTAGAGGTACATGAGTAAAACAATAAAGGCCTGGGTTATTTTCACTTTTGTAGAGAACCCATACCTGGGTGCCCAAATTACAGATGTACGTTGGACGAATCAAATTTGACTTGAGTTTCCTACGTCGGATTTTAATCAGATTGGTGACACGCATTTTTTAATTTATGCCACAGAAATTACCAGGACGTATGTCCCAGAGGAGTCAAGAATAAGCCATATTTCATCCACCTGATCTAACCATAGACTATATATCGAGTATATTGAACCATATACTTTTTTCGCAATCGCCTCGAGATATCATTGAGAGCGAGACTCATACGACATGATCTTTGCCCCCAAAAATGTTCCAATCTTTACTACCACCACACCCACTGTTCAAAATAGTAAGTTATCTCACACGGAAAATCGCAAAATTCGGAATTAAGTATGACTACCAGTATTCAAATAATATAATTAATATGCAAGTCTCGTGGTTTATCTCGCTTTCAACGAGGTCTCGACAGCCATTCACGAATAAGGTTCATTTTACAGTTTGACACCAGAATGATTAGGTTATATATAATGTTTAATCTTGGTTTTCAGGTTATTTCATCATTCGTATTTGTATAAAAAGATTCCACAAGAAGCATCACGAATAAGGTTCATTTTACAGTTTGACACCAGAATGATTAAGTTATAAATAATGTTTAATCGCTTAAATGTTCATGGTTTTCAGGTTATTTCATCATCCGTATTTGTATAAAAGATTCCACAAGAAGCATCACGAATGGACGGCGCCGATTGGTTTAATTGCTCTTTACGCACATCCGCTTGAACACGCGCTGAGTAACGCATTAGCAGCCGTTGCCGGGGCTTTCGTTGTCCAATCACATCTGCTGTCAATATGGATCTGGTTGGTGATAGCGGTGTATTCCACACAGATCACGCATTCTGGATACCACTTTCCTTTTACACTGTCACCCCAATTCCACGATTTCCACCATGCAAAGTAAGTTATCTGATATTAATAAACATTAGTTATAAGTCATATTTTACAAAATTAGTTTTATTATCTTAACAAGATGATGAAGAGAAAGTGGCAACGTGAAGATCTTGTTTGCGCATCTTTAATTTGTTTGATCAAAACAGGATATGATCCAGTTTGCCGCGAGATAAATACGCCTCGAAATGCATATACATATATGTTAATATCCAAATTATTAGAGTATGCGCTGTCATGTTTTTCTTTACTTTTATTTCATTGAACATACTGTAAAATCATTTATTTTGACATGTTGAGCATATTCACTGGGTTTTAAGCTCAACGAATTTGTCAGAAAAACAATAAATTATATTGCCACTTTACACGTTCACATGGATTTAATTTAGAGCATTTTACCGCATTTCAGCGGATGAAAAGCTTGCTAGCTTGTTATTAAAACAACTTTTGATTTTCATTTGACACTGAATCATACACTGATATTTATTTATAAGGTGCAATCATTTTCTCCCATCATCGCGTCCTCACTGTCGCAAACTACGCCCTCTTTCGGCAAGAAGAGTTGGGCGGAAAAAATACTCTAGCGGGCGAGAATGCGCGTTCTTGGTTTTCTTGACATTTCCCTGTATTTTGATCAGTGAATGCAGTGGCGGTAGGAAACGGGACCTTATTTGGGAGTCGGTGGGCAAAAAACAACTGAAGTCACGGGATTCTCTAGCACACAGATCTCAGTGGTTATTTGCAAATAAGGTCTATTCCTACCAAGATGAAATTTATCCATATCGCCTTTTTAAAAAAAAAATGCTAATTTATACAATGAATATTGTTTAAAACGGGGGAGTCGTCACCTGCACATGCGTCAGATGGCCATAGCGTGTCATGAGCTACCCATGATCTTTTGCGTTTTTAGCGTGTGTTGTTTTCGTCGCTTGGGTCTCAATTACCGCGCGTGCGCAGGTGACGACCCTCCCGCTTTAACTGGTCTAAATATGCTTCCGTAAAAATGGAAAGCTATGCCGTCACTTCTCGAATGTAACAAAAACGACGAGACAGTTGAACCGATTGATACTCATATTAAACCTCTGAGATTAAACTCAAAGGGCGTCGGTAATCAACGCGCGGCATTATACACGCCTGCATACGCCTTTTTTCATCTGTTCTGGTATTTCGACGTTCACTAAATTCCCGCGCGTGCGCAGGTGACGACCCTCCCGCTTTAAGAATACTGTGGTGTTTCAGGCAGTACAAGTATTTTTGTATGTTGTGTATAAGAGTGACATGCATGATAATCTCGTTATGCTTTCACTGTTGTTTCGTTTTGTATCTTCCTGTAGGTTCAACTATTGTTACGGAGCAATTGGTGTTTTAGATTATCTCCATGGAACTGATACATTGTACCGAAAGAGCATATCCCACAGACGACATAAAACTATCTTTAATTTGACGCCGATACATGAGAGTATCCCAATTGACAATTTCAAAAAAGATTGATGCAAATGTGAAGTAATATGTAATGTCCAGTATGACGCGGTGCTATTGGTTTCTGAATGTTCACTTTATTTTTGAACTTTTATCGTCCATATTTTTCAATATGCCGTGAATGGGTTGACCACTACGGGTGTCACGACGACGTCTCGCAAATTGCGAGTTCACACGTAATTTGCATGACGATGACAGGATATACTGTAAAATGACTAAATTTCACGGGGTTTAAATTTCACTAATTTAGCATTTCAGACATATTCAATGGGTTATAAATTCACGGTTTTATCATTTATATAATGTCAGTGTTCTATGCTCAATTTTACATATTCACTGGGTTTTTATTTAGCACATTTTCCAGTTAGCGAAATAAGCAAAATTAAACCATTTACAGTAGGATCTTTAGTTTCGCATACCCCCCCCCCCAAGAATTGATTCTTCTTGAATTCAACGATTTCATGAGAACGTTTTCAATAGTGATTATTGATTCATATACTAACAATATATGAAAAGTGGTGATTCGTCCCCGAATTTGTTTCACTGTCTCCCCTATCTCAAATACAGTCATTACATTATAACAGCTTGTTGTTTTGAAGTAGATGAGAACATACTAGTATTAGATTTAGCAGGGAAACATGATGGGTGCACTAATCAGTGCTATTTCGAAATACTTACACTAATTTTATGGCATGGCTTTTTTACCCGTTAATCATTACCTTGCTGGGCCATGAACTACAGGACATATTTACATTCCCAATTTGAGAACATATTATTAAACTGATTAAAGGGCGGTAATCGTCACGCTGCGCATGTGTGACATCTGTGTTTATAAACATTGGTTTTCCCACAATCCAATGCGCTCTTCTAATGTAAATCACGAGTATGAGGTTTGACCTGGGCAAAACTTACACTAATTACCGCCGGTGACTCTTTCGATACATTCCAATGACCTAAAAATTACCTAATTAAAGCTTGGTAACGTCTCAGTTTTTACTCGTTCAAATTGATCTGCGCCACAGTCAAAGTCGCCATCTTTTTTATATGAGACCCATATATCTTGCGCATGCGTGGCGCGACAACAACCGCTTTTTAAATATGTAACTGTCAGTGGTCCCTTGAATCGTGGAAAGTCCGTTTCGGTCTCATGCCACTAATCAACCAATTTTCTAATCTTGGTGTTTTCCAGTGATTTCTCTAGGGGCAATCCAAATACAGTAGGTGTGTCTTGCTTTACCTGAGATTTGCAAGAGTTTGAGCTGGCCAACATGTGGTTGATTACTAGCATATTGATTTCCCATTTCCCCATGTTTTCAACTTTGTTTATCATTTTCCTATAGCAATCTCGTCATATGTTAACATTGTCGTCTATGGAAATTCAATTAGTGGTATGAGCCCTTAGTGCCTTCCATGCTTGAATGTTGCTTATTGGCATGACGCCAAAATCTCACGCACTGCATAGCGAGTCATATATCTCCATTCTGCTTATTCGTATTCACCGACTGATCTGATTACAAATCCTTATTTCGAGTCGTCACTCTAACTAAGTTAATAGTATTAACCACCACAGCAATTACGAGAACAAATTATGGACGTGACTTTTGGTGAGAAAGATGCGAACACAGTGTGACAGGGCCACGCGCACTCTAATTAACATCAATATTCATAATTAAAAAAAAACAGAACTATTTCCGGAAGCACGAGGCTACAAATGTCAGCGTTGACATTGACAGATAGGATATTAGATTTCAACTAACACGCACATAATTGAGATTTCTTTTTAAATAATTGCGACAATTACCTGCTGTTTAATACGATGCACACCATTTGTGTGGCAAGGTGTAATTGTTGGTTATTTTGAATTTTCGGGGTGCGCATCAGGAAGATGATTGGTGTAGCGTCCATTTATACACATATATAGCGTCCATATTTTATCTTCTCACGCCAATATTTCTAGTAAATTCACCAATATTTTAATAGATTTGATGATCAAATGATCAACAAAATTTCGCCCGGGGAAAACAACTTGCCCATCATGGTCGTCGATATTTATTGGGTACACACCGGCGGATCACTCGAATATAAACTATAGTTGGTGAGGACGCAATAACTATCACCGACCCCCGGGTTCACCGACTATGTCCGACAAGAAAACAATTTCTATAAGATCAAACCGGGATGTCATTTCAAAAGCTTGAAGTTGGTCACGTGATATTAGCCTATTATTAGATATTAATGGCTTCCGCCGGAGAAATGTATGGTCAAGCGCTTGAACCTGGGAAAACAGCATTAAAACCGATAGTTCTCCTGCTGGTGGGTGATCGTCGCGCCACACATGTGCTTCTTTAGGTATTAGAAGGTAATTAGTGCACGTCTCTCTCAGGTCAGAACTCATACCTGTAAATTCTATTAGAAGAGCGCATTGAACTGTGGAAAAATCAATGTTTATCAACACAAATGTCGAACATGCGCGGCGCGACGATCTTTCATGGATATTTTTTTTGCAATACACTAGTGTCACACGTTTGTGGACGAAGCTTGAATTCTACGAGTGGAACCATAGTTTTCATGTGTCAACAAAATCATAATATCTGAAAATATCAACTTTAAAGACACCAAATGTACCAGAAGAGACTAAATACCGCTCACGGCTAATGAAAGGAAAAACAAAACAGATTATTACACCCAATGACAATCGTAAAATACAGATAAAACACACATATTGCAATATAGAAGAACAACATCATAAATGCAGCAAAAGTACAGGACGTAATCACCACAACTATCACAGTGGTCATCAGACTCAGTTCTAAATGACGTTGCGTTCATCCATCCCCACAAAAAAAGAACATTGTCGCCAGAGAGCGCAATATGATGTTGGGAAACAAACTGAAAACACATTACCTCAGGAACAAGTAATGGAAATCGAGTATAATGAATATGATACGTTAAAGGGTCGCGGTCGTCTCATGCCGACGTACACAGCACGTGTAAAATACATTGTTTGTTTACGTGGAATTCCGGTGGGATTATACGAGTAGTGGTGTGTTTATGACTGTAAACAAACACTTTTGGTCAGTATAAAGTGTTACGAGGCCATTTTATTAAATACTCCAGAAAAAACAAGCCTTAATGTGCGAGTAGAATTTTAATATTAATGTAGAGATGCAGGTTGGGAGACTATATTTCTAATTGGCTCTGATTACTGTAATTACACGAGTAATATATAACTTTTACCCATTAAGTTATATATCATTTGAAATAGCTTAATTTAAACTTTCGAGTTGTATGGTTTACAATAATGTACTATGATACCATACTAAGTGGTGTTGATTTTGGGTTAAAATCATGCATTTTAGGTGAAAGTGCACTTAAAACTAAACTTTTGAATGCATACCCTGATTTTGATTTAAAAACACTTATTTAAAACTTCGGTTTACCAGGAACATAATGGCTTATTTCCAATTTATTAAACACAAACACATCTGTTTATGCCGTTTCCCAGATTGAATACGAAGCCAGAAGAGTTTTGATTCAATTTGAATGGAAATCAAAAGACAAATCGAGAGTGCAAACAACCCAAGCGATAATTTTTGAATAATATATTAAATATTATTATGTGACTTTCATCCTGGAAATCATCACCATTTTTTCAATAATTATGAGTGATTACCTTCTAACCTATCGGAACTGGGAGTTCTGCGTTGATATTTTTTTTTAATTCTAATTAGTGACTCGGTAAATTATGGAATAATAGGACGAGGTATGAACCACTAAGATCACAACTGTCTATGGTAAAAGAGACATTTCATGAGACATTGGCGACATAATGTGTGTAAGGGTTTACCAGTCGTTTTCTCATACATACACAAAAAAGAAAAAACTGTTGGAAAAAACTGTCATTTGTTCATTTCAATCCCACGTGAGCTTATTACTACATTTTGTGTTAACAATACGTTCCCACGTGTTGGGTAGAAGTTTCTCTTTTCCACATTACTAAAACAAAGTGACAATTGAAAACGGACAGGTTTCAAGAAAAATGACATCTATGCAAACAAGATTTTTATTTTAAATACACTAATCCACAAATATTTACAGAACAGATGAGTTCGACGTTATAGTGTTTCCATCGACATTGAAAAGGGCATGACATGATAAATAAAACTGCGATATTCCATAAAATGGGTAAGGCAGACATGAGGGGTGAAAAGTTTAAAATGATTTATAATCTTTTGTAATCTATACCTAAATAACGTGTCAACAGAATAACTAAAGAAAGTTCAACACATTACAATAACGCAAACGCGGATTCATATTAGATATGGCACGTGACTGATCAGGTGACCAGATACTGAGCTTTGTCGACATAAACACGACTAAACTCTGGTAAATACATGTAGTACGGTCGATCGCTGAATTTTGTTGTTAAAAATCTTCGCAATGGACGTTATTAACGGAGTAAACTTAACCCAGCCAAGCTTTGTTGTTGCTGGTTGGCAGAGAGTGTACCAGTTGTTTGGTGAGCAAGAGTTCTTGCTATTCACCGTCGGTAAGTACTACAGACTTTGCTACGGTAATGCTACCCGAGTGAGCCATTCATGATTTGATCCCGCCGTCAAGCTCGATAAACAGCGAGGAACGTACTGTTAATTTTAGTGTAATAATTTTTGTGAAGAAGCTGTTTATGCGTATTGTACGGGAATTACACCCGCGGCTAGCGCGATCCCATGCTCGGAGTCAATCTTATTCAACCGGCGCGCGAACTTTGTCAACTCCGAATATTCAGAGACGAGAACAAATTGAACACACGGAGGGTCTCGCACCCGCAATATAAACAGCCTCATACAAATAAAATGGACAGATTACCTAATTTAAATATCACTTCTAAAAAGCAGTGTATTTCGATGACGATATTAATTCCTACGTTTATGAAAGGTTCACGAGAGGTCATATAACGGTCAACGTCATTAGCCTACACATCTGCAGTTGGTGTAGCGTTCAAAACAAGATAATATCAAAGTTCAAAACGTTAATGTGATATTGACAATGTCCGGTAGATAGACTGGAATCCACGTCGATCATCTTGTAGAGGTCATCGAATATCAGGAATTTAACTAGGTCAAGTTCAAGTTAACCTTGACCATACAAAAGAAGTTTCAGTTTCTGGTGTATAAAGTGCATACAAATCAACGCATTTCATATTTGAAAATGTTTATATTTTAGAAATAAAATAACAATATGTTGACATATTTCCAAATGCACGTTGTATAGTGTATATTTATACAGATTAAGGGATGGCCATTAGACACTATTGGGGGGTGGTGGTGGTGGTAGGGAACTGTTTTTAAAAATATAAATCTATGCCCACAATAAATTTGAAAAAAAAGTATTACAGAAGAAAAACAAAAAAAAATGTCACAGCAGCATTATCCTGTGAAAAAATCACTATTACACTGAATAATTCCATATATTACACTGAATATTGCCTTACAAAGGGCAATACAAGTGGCCAATATTACACTGAATAATGCCATATATTACACTGAATAATGCCATACAAGAGGCAATACAAGTGACCAATATTACACTGAATAATGCCATACAAGGGGCAATACAAGTGGCCATTATTACACTGAATAATGTCATGTACATGTATTACACTCAATAATGCCATACAAGGGGCAATACAAGTGACCATTATTACATTGAATAATGCCATATATTACACTGAATAATGCCATACATGAGGCAATACAAGTGGCCAATATTACACTCAATAATGCCATATATTACACTCAATAATGCCATATAAGGGCGATACAAATTACCAATATTACACTGAAAAATGCCATATATTACACTGAATAATGCCATACAAGGGGCAATACAAGTGACCAATATTACACTGAATAATGCCATATATTACACTGAATAATGCCATACAAGGGGGCGATACAAATTACCAATATTACACTGAATAATGCCATACAAGGGGCAATACAAGTGGCCAATATTACACTGAATAATGTCATATATTACACTCAATAATGCCATATAAGGGGTGATACAAATTACCAATATTACACTGAATAATGCCATATATTACACTGAATAATGCCATATAAGGGGCAATACAAGTGGCCAATATTACACTGAATAATGCCATATATTACACTGAATAATGCCATACAAGGAGCAATATAAGTGACCAATATTACACTGAATAATGCCATACAAGAGGCAATACAAGTGAACAATATTACACTGAATAATGTCATATATTACACCCAATAATGCCATATAAGGGGTGATACAAATTACCAATATTACACTGAATAATGCCATATATTACACTGAATAATGCCATATATTACACTCAATAATGCCATACAAGGATCAATACAAGTGACCAATATTACACTGAATAATGCCATACAAGAGGCAATACAAGTGACCAATATTACACTGAATAATGTCATATATTACACTCAATAATGTCATATATTACACTCAATAATGCCATATAATGGGTGATACAAATTACCAATATTACACTGAATAATGCCATATATTACACTGAATAATGCCATATATTACACTGAATAATGCCATATATTACACTGAATAATGCCATACAAGGGGTAATACAAGTGGCCAATATTACACTCAATAATGCCATATATTACATTGAATAATGCCATATATTACACTGAATAATGCCATACAAGGGGCAATACAAGTGGCCAATATTACACTCAATAATGCCATATATTACATTGAATAATGCCATATATTACACTGAATAATGCCATACAAGGGGCAATACAAGTGGCCAATATTACACTGAATAATGTCATGTATTACACTGAATAATGCCTTACAAGGGGCAATACAAGTGACCAATATCACACTGAATAAAGTCATATATTACACTCAATAATGCCTTACAAGGGACAATACAAGTGACCAATATTTCAGTGAATAATACCATACAAGGGGCAGTACAAGTGGCCAACATTACACTCAATAATGGCATATATGGTATTATCAATTTCAATATTGCACTCTATAGTGCCAAACAAGGGGCATTACAAGTGGCCAATATTACACTCAATAATGTCATATATTACACTCAATAATGCCATACAAGGAGCAATACAAGTGACCAATATTACACTGAATAATGCCATATATTACACTGAATAATGCCATATATTACACTCAATAATGCCATACAAGGAGCAATACAAGTGACCAATATTACACTGAATAATGCCATACAAGAGGCAATACAAGTGACCAATATTACACTGAATAATGTGATATATTACACTCAATAATGTCATATATTACACTCAATAATGCCATATAATGGGTGATACAAATTACCAATATTACACTGAATAATGCCATATATTACACTGAATAATGCCATACATGAGGCAATACAAGTGACCATTATTACACTGAATAATGCCATATATTACACTGAATAATGCCATACAAGGGGCAATACAAGTGGCCAATATTACACTCAATAATGCCACATATTACATTGAATAATGCCATATATTACACTGAATAATGCCATACAAGGGGCAATACAAGTGGCCAATATTACACTGAATAATGTCATATATTACACTCAATAATGCCATATAAGGGGTGATACAAATTACCAATATTACACTGAATAATGCCATATATTACACTGAATAATGCCATATATTACACTCAATAATGCCATACAAGGAGCTATACAAGTGACCAATATTACACTGAAAAATGCCATATCTTACACTGCCATAATGCCATACAAGAGGCAATACAAGTGACCAATATTACACTGAATAATGTCATATATTACACTCAATAATGCCATATAATGGGTGATACAAATTACCAATATTACACTGAATAATGCCATATATTACACTGAATAATGCCATATATTACACTGAATAATGCCATACAAGGGGCAATACAAGTGGCCAATATTACATTGAATAATGCCATATATTACATTGAATAATGCCATATATTACACTGAATAATGCCATACAAAGGGCAATACAAGTGGCCAATATTACACTGAATAATGTCATGTATTACACTGAATAATGCCTTACAAGGGGCAATACAAGTGACCAATATCACACTGAATAAAGTCATATATTACACTCAATAATGCCTTACAAGGGACAATACAAGTGACCAATATTTCAGTGAATAATACCATACAAGGGGCAGTACAAGTGGCCAATATTACACTCAATAATGGCATATAGGGTATTATCAATTTCAATATTGCACTCTATAATGCCAAACAAGGGGCATTACAAGTGGCCAATATTACACTCAATAATGTCATATATTACACTCAATAATGCCATACAAGGGGCAATACAAGTGTCCAATATTACACTCAATAATGCCATATAGGGTATTATCAATTTCAATAATGCACTCTATAATGCCAAACAAGGGGCATTACAAGTGGCCAGTATTACACTAAATAATGGCATATAGGGTATTATCAATTTCAATATTGCACTCTATAATGCCATACAAGAGGCAATACAAGTGTCCAATATTACACTAAATAATGCCATATACGGTATTATAAATTTCAATATTGCACTCTATAATGCCATACAAGGGGAATTACAAGTGGCCAATATTACATTCAATAATGCCTTCCATTACACTCAATATCATCTATTGCAGGGTAGTATCAATGTCAAATTTTGCACTTAAAAATGCCATACAAGAGGCAATACAAGTGGCCAGTATTACACTCTATAATGCCATATTTTACCACATTATATATATACTAGTATATCACACTAAATGATGTCACTTATCACATAGCCATTATTAGAGGTCATTGATTATTGTTGCTTTTTGTTACAGGAACTGGGTTAGTTATTAATATTACTTATTGGACATTTGGTTTGTTGCTGCTATTTATGGATTTAACGACAAAACCAAAATTTCTTTGGAAATATAAAATCCAGCAAGACAAAAATGCTCCTGTAAGTATATTGAAGAGAGTTTAAGTGACTTGGTCAAAACACAAATATATACAAGTATTTGAACTATATTTATTAGTGACACTGAATATGTCTAGCAATGGTCCCAGCTTATGAAAAATTATAATACAAATTCCCACCATGCATTGCATTTGTAACAAACTTAAAATGATGACAACACTTTTTCGTCGTAATTTCGGAAAATTGTATTAACCCATAAACTTTTTGTCACCCATGAACACATTTGCAGTTACAAGGACTTGCTTAGATGTCTTAAACTTAGGGGGCTGTTTTACTCATCTCCTCAAGACTCCACTTGCCGCCATTTTGTTTTTAAAATAAAAGAACTTTAAAATAATTATTATTGATCAACAGAAAGTCTAGATGTTATCAGCATACGACTCTGGACTTTTTTATTTTATCCATCTTTGTAGTTGGACCCAGCACGGCTTCCTGGGCTATTCAAGACTACAATTTTCAATATGGTAGCATTGTTCCCGGTTATCTCTATGATTCTATATACTGGCGGTCAATTCCGTGGGAGCAGCTGCTCTGTTGAAGATTTACCATCCCTTCCCAGATTCCTGCTTGATTTTGTAGCTGCAGTCCTTGGGGAGGAAGTCTTCTTTTATTACTCACATCGGTAAGTCCAGCAAAAAAATCTCTTTTCTAATTTCTGCCTATTTGTTTTCAGTAGAAAAAACAAGTGAAATTACATTTGGCCACACGAGGGCGCAATTTATCTATCTACTTTCAGCAATTGGGTAAAATTTCAGTCCTATTTGCTTGCTGAAAGTTGTTCATAACATTTGTTCTACCAGCTCTTTATGAATTTAGCAGATTTGTGTTTTTATTGTGGTTGCATCTGCGTGGCCATAATCTAACCCAACTTCTGGTTTTAGTGAGAACTACAAGTTTCATGTAAGAAAGATAATAAAAACATGTTTGTGGGTAATTTTCAAATGTGTTTGAATACATAATTTAAAAATAATGTTTTAGTGTCAAGGGACAGATGAATGTTACTGTTGTTTCTGCTGACTTTTTATGCATAAGTGCAGACCCAACAAACTGCATTACCACGGTATATCGTTTAAAGAGCAGTTGTCATTGCATATCGATTGTTTAAATTTTGTATCAGCTAAGAGTAAAACGATGGGATCATCATCTATACATGCTTGAGAATTGAGTCCCATGCAATGATAACAACGCACGCTAAAACGCAAAGGCTTATGGGTAGATGCCTGTTTGTAAACAAAAACACACTATGGCCGTCTGCCATATGATGCAGGACTGAGAACTGAATGACAGAATTTGAGTCAATGAGAAAAAATTCTTACTTATGTGGGTTGAACATTAGATACTTGGTGGAGGAGATGGTGGATTCTGAAGAAAAAAAATCAGCAATTTAAAAAAAAATATAAAGGTATGAAAAAACTTGACACAAAAAATAAAAAAAGCCATAAAATATTCACACCAATATCATCATAAAATATTGCTCAAATAATGGTGTATTGTACAAACAAGTGAAATAAAAAGACAAGTCAAGTTCTGTCAATTCCATAGAAACTGTGTGTCAAAACATTCCAATTTTGTCTGTGTGGGGTGGGGGTTGGGGGGGAGGGGGGTGCGCTGCATAAAAGATTGATAGCTCATCAGAATGTCAGAAAGCAGGAAACCCCGTGGGTAGTTTGCGTGAGCTGGAAATCAATCCCATTCCCACACCAACAATCCATTGTTGTTTCAACACTTTTTCTGTCACCTTTACATATATCTCAGTATTTATTTTATCCACAATGCATTCTTATATCATATTCAGGTTGTTCCATAATCCGTATTTCTACAAAAGATTCCACAAAAAACATCATGAATGGACAGCACCTATTGGTTTAGTTGCAATCTATGCACATCCAGTGGAACACCTACTCAGTAATACATTACCTCTTTTTGCTGGACCTTTCATCATGGGATCCCATCTGTTGTCCGTATGGGTATGGGTGATTGTTGCTCTGATAACGACCACGATAACTCACTCTGGATACCACTTTCCATTCATGGCTTCTCCCCAATTCCATGATTTCCACCATGCGAAGTAAGTATACTCAATTTAATATATATGTATTTAAATATACTTCAAGGGTGGATAAATACAAGGGCAATGTAGTAGGTACACACTAGTGTTGTTTTCTTGTATCACATCTTAAGGATTCAATGACTTCCACCGAGCGAAGTAAGTATACTCAATTCAATATACATGTATATGTATTTAAATATATTTCAAGAGTGGATAAAAACAAGAGAAATATACCATGCACCATGTACTTAAGATAAATATTAAATGTGCAATCTCATTTTATGGTAACCACAATTCTATGACTTTTTTTATGTGATAAAGAAAGCCAATGCAATAAATGTACTTACTAATCAAGGATGGATAAATACAAGGGCATAGTGTCTGCCTAATTTCATGATTTTTCCCAGTGCAGTGTATGAGCTTAAAGGGTAAGTAAGTGATACACACTTAAATTAAAAAAAAAAATGTTCGCAGACATCAAATTGCTAAAAAATTCACTCATTTTATATTTGCAGGTTCAACTACTGTTTTGGCGTACTTGGAATATGTGATTATATCCATGGAACGGATTCATTGTTTCGTAAGAGCAAAGCGTCAGAACGAAATATGACATTCTTTAGTTTGAAACCGATCCATGAAAGAATTCCTGATGATAATGCTTTAAAAAAAGACTGAGATTTCAATTTACAGGTGGATGATGTTTTGAGACTGAGAATTGAAAGACGCTTAAAGATGAATGCGGCTGAAACTTTTACCGCACGAATTTCGAAAAATGTTCAACTTGCTTCTTGTGACTGCCTAATTCAAATCCAAAGCAACAACTTGGGATTATCGGTAACAGTTTTTGCATAATGAAACTCAATTGCATGTAATTTGACTCATTTGCAATTCAAAATGGCTACCTGATTCAAGGTAGAAGCCTAGTCATAATTTTTGACAAAATTGGTCATAAATCGCATGACAATGTTCTTTAGTTTATTATGTACAATTATGAAGCTAATGTCCCATGGTACAATTAAATAGCATTATTTTGTGTGTCACAGTTATGGTTTTTGAGAAACGTGTCCTACTATGTTTGAAAATTGCTATTTTTAGAACAATTCCATAGAACACAATGTTGAAGAAAAATTGCATTTTTTGACACTTTTTAAAACCCAGATTTTTAAAATAATCCAGAACAACAAAAAGTACTCCATCATTAACAATATATGATTTTTTCAACCTATGTCACCAGGCTAGATTTTGAGATATTGCATAATATCTCTGCCATAGGAACCTGTGGTAAAAATGTTATAATAGTGTCAAAATGGCGATTGCAAACGGGCAATCAGGACTCATTCACAGTTGCACATTTGGAAGATTTGAATAATCAAATATATCAATATATCCTTCTGACCATCAAAGTATTTGTAGATTATCTGATCATTCTTGTCAATCCAAACCAAACACTGAAAATTAACAATTAGGGATGGACCATTAGAAACCCAGGAGCGATTGCAGAATTGAAAAAAAAAATGGTCAGATAAAAATCATGGAAAAGGGATCCATAATAAAAAACAAATCTGCCTTTCTTATGGAAAAAATAATACAGAGGAAATTGCAGCGAATGTTGTAACAATAATAATTTTTGTCACTAAAATTATGGTGCACCATTATGAGCCTTTTTATGTAGTTTTTTACAATTCCTTTTTATTTTCGCTATTTTCACTAAAGTGAAAATAAAATCCAGTGAATATACTCCTTTTGCTATATTTTACATCCAACTTGTCAAAAATCAGTGAAAATAAATTTCATACAAAATATCAAAAAAGTCATTTCAGTGAAAATGAATTCCAGTTAAAATATAAAGTATTTTATAGTAACACAAAACTAAGAGAAAAAATAATTTGTATAGTTTTTTGGCATCACCCCTGGGTTCCTAATGGTCCACCCCTTAACTGGAAATGAGTGCCTGATATTATTGCAGTTGATGATGACTATTATTTACATTAATAACATTTTTCGTTGCTTTTTCATAGATAAAACATGAAATATATTTTTAGCATTGAAATTAAAGACTGTGTAGTGTAGAAATTCTTGAAATGTATGGAGACTTTTCAGGAAGTGTGTTGTTAACATGTATCATTTGATCAACTTTCAGTGTGTTAAAGTACTTGAATTACGGATATTGTACAATAATTGTATTGAAGTTTTTATAAATATGAATATAATATATTGTAATGATATTTACCAAAGTTTTTAAATTTTGAAAAAGATCAAATGAAGAATGAAAGAAATTTGCACTCATCAATGCACAGTATGTTTGTACGGACAACAAATTTTTTGAGAATATAGTCCTGTTCACTTGAATGAAATACATTTACAATATTATATGAAAAATAGATGATTTATTTTATGATTATTATAAGATTACTACCGGTAATATCTTTTTTTCAAACCATTCAGAAAATTGACATTTTTAATTTGGTTATTTTTGAAATAAATTTATTAATGAAAATAGATACAAATATTTACTGGTATAGATGTGTAAATAGATGATATTGAAAAGTGCAAGGATTTTTTTGTTTCAAATAATGTCAAAGAGTTGAAGGTCCCATAAATGTAGAGACATCAACCACAGGCCGACACTGGTAACACTGGAAAGTTTTACCAATCTGAGTATATCTTACCAAAACACATACACATATATTGTTTTTCATGTTGTGGTAAGTATACTTCAAGTATCAGATGCTTAAAGCATACTTCAAGTACTTATTAATTTTGTTAAGGGTGACTCCGGAGGGTGGGGAGTCTCACATTGATTTTGTGTGGGAGTGCTCCACAACCAGTTGAAAACTGGAGCTAACAGATAGATGTTGAGGGCACTGTTCGGTGCAAAAATGCTCGAAATTTGGCTAAATTGGCCAGAAATCATAAATTTGGGGTCAAAATGATCAGCTGGACCCTATGATTAGTTTTAAAATTATGGTGCAACATTTTGCTTTCCCAATTACCTACAGTCCTTGAACAAAGAAATGTGGAAAAAATGATGGGGGATTGACTCACATAAGTTAAAAATCTCTTGCACTTTGGTATAAACCACTAGGTCATCGAGGTAATGCACGTTACAGATCAATGTTTAATTTTTGAATTATGTGTTGGTTTTACGAATCACTGGACTGTTTTCAAAAAGGGAATATGAATATCAGTCACAACAACGATATTATGTTGATCTTACTGTCATTCTCAACTCCGGTGTATTTTAACAGATTTGTTAGTGTACTTTGTGACCAATATGTCACCTAGATATTTTTGGTGATGTGATGTGATGTGATTTGATTTGGTATTATGTAACTGACAATAAAATTGACATTAAATGTATCTAGTTGTTGTCTAGTATCAAGATATGTTTCTCATATAAACAAAGATGGCGAATTTAACAGTTGGGCAGACATACGAGTACAAACTGAGGCGTTACCGCGCTTCAATTAGTTCATTTTTTCGGTGATTGGAAGGTGTCCAAGGAGTCGTCAGCTATAATTATTGCAAATCACACACATGTCAAAACTTGTACCCGTGATTTCTTTGAGAGCGCATTGTATTGTGGGGAAAATCAATGTGTATCAACACATAATGTCGCACATGTGCGACGCGGTGACTATCGCCCTTTGATCATGTTTGCATATGTACATGTTGTACAATTAATGCCATCAAAATCCAACATGGCGGGTAATTCACACAATTAAAACGATATATTTTTCTTTTGAAATTGGCGTTGTGTTTAATGAGTGGGTTGAGTATAAATTTGTCTCTGCCAAAATTCAGGTAGTAGGTAGTTATATACAAGACTGAATTGGTAAATGAGCTTGACAAATTATACATTCAAAAGTATGGTAATGATGTATTACATATGTGTAAATGCGCGCTACACAAAGACCGTAAATTAAACGAGGTTTAAATATACCATTGATACCACTACCCCAATTATTTGCTCAGTGTCGTGCAATCTTCTTATTATAATCAATGTTTACATCCATACTTCAAACAGAGTTGGCACAAGCTCGACAACTGAATGTTTAATTCGATATCACTTATTTCAAACCTACATTGAATTAAATATGACCCATTTATTCACATTTTTATGAGGTCATTTGCATTTAAATATTTGCACAACAGTTTTAAATAATGGGACACTGTACTGTTTCAGGTAGAATAAGAAATGGCCACCAAATTAATTTGAAGGCTGATATTATATCGCAAATACCAGTGACATTGTTTTGATCTGAGAACATCTCATAAAATCAAACATATTTAATCTGAACTGAGTTCCACTCATCCAAAGACAAATATGATACTTCAGGAAAAAGGCGTGTTTTAATAAAGCACTATTGTCGTTGTGAACACGTGTTTAAATTTTAAAGAAACCATATTGTATACAACAACTGTGATGCTTGTGTTTGACATCTGTGCTTAGTAAAACAATTGTTCAAACTTAATATTTTTGAGTTGCTATGGCAACAAGTGTTTGTATTAATACAATGTCATCTGACACACAGCAACAATTCATATCCATTCCATTTGAGTAGGTATGTCAAAACTATCAAATGTCGGATTCCAGAAGTGTGTTCAAGTACATGACGAGAAATAAAACAAATTTAAGCACCAAGCGAAAAAATAATGCACGATGTATTTATTTACATAATACTGAATTCCAGCCTTAAGGTATTGGTACCATATTATGAATTTGAAAATGCACCCTCTAACGCAGCACAATGGAAATACAGTGGCAAGAATAGACCACTTTCCCATGGTGTTTTGGGATGTAACATGAACTTGCATGCATGATATTGTGCTTCTGAGTGTACCAATCAACGTTACAAAAATAAAATTCGCTTCTATCGACTATAAGCAAACTGACATGTTTGTATTTTCCGCCATTACAAAGCAGGTATAATTCAGCATCTCAGTTTTGCTACTTCCCGAGAAAGTGGTCTATATACATTTTAGTTTTAAAAGTGGTCAATCGAATATGACATATAAATATAAAAACAGTCTTAAAAAGAATGACTTTATAAGTTATCAATAATATTACAGTTGTTGAATGTTTAAAAGATTATTAAGAAAATTGTTACGTTTAAAATGTAAAAAAAATAATTTCAGTACACCATACTTTCAATTTAAATTATGGCAACATAAAGATGCAATAATATTTTTTATGGACTGGATAGGGCATTTGCAACCTGAGTTCTTGCGACAGAAGCACCCGGGCTTGCAAGGTCACGTAAGCCATACAACCAAGTTTAGTAAAAGCTGTATCCAGTCCATAAAGGTTTCATCATATACCTTATAGGTATAATTACAATTTTACCATGGTGTGACCTCAAACACACGACGTAATTTAGAATGATGTGTTTAGTTTTGTTTGATGAAAGTGCACTGGTCCAGGTGTGATACGAAGAATAATTGTCTTGATGTGAGGACGCACTTCCCATAGCGCTACGAGGCCGGGCAAAACGAGGCATTTGATAATACTTTGCAACACACACTGAGGCCTTATACTTCTTCCGGGTCATAAGGATCAAAGAAACCTGGCCCACTATCATCAGGATCCACTGTGCCGCCATCTAAAATTACAAGTAGAAATATCATTTTAAAAAGTGAGCATTAACATCACATTTGAATATATCAAACAAAGTGAGTATATTAACTGTATACTGCTAAGTTAAATATAAATAAAGCATCAAATTCATCACACTGCATCATTTTTGATCAGTCCCACATGACGTATACAACGCATTTGCAATACATGTTTTGGTTTAAACATAATTTGAATACGTGATGAATGACGTATAAACCAAACAACAGGTTTCCTGAAATATTAAAATGGTTATTAATATACCCAAATAGATTGAATTGACACTCACATGTTATCGTCCAGTTGCTATCCATGGTTTTTCTCATGGACCAATTAGTTCCCAGTGGCTTCTCTTTTATATGTTGTTGAATTGCATAGTAGAGGAATTCATACTGACCCTGTGAACAAATTATCAACACTCAGTCAATGTAAGATGTGTGGTACATCAATGTAAAATATCAACACTCAGTCAGTCAGTCAGTCAGTCACTCACTCACTCAGTCAGTCAGTCAGTCAGTCAGTCAGTCAGTCAGTCACTCACTCAGTCAGTCAGTCAGTCAGTCAGTCAGTCAGTCAGTCACTCACTCAGTCAGTCAGTCAGTCAGTCAGTCAGTCAGTCAGTCGTTTGTTTAGTGCTCTTGGACTGGTAAACTCCCCGTTAACAGTTATGAAATAACATATCATTTAGACATGTTATTTCTATTTTTATACATTTGTCATTGCTTCTTCTTCTTGCTTTTATTCAGCAGGAATACTATGATGTATGTGTCATTCCATGACATATCACACAACGTACATTGACGCACCACACATCATACATTGACGCACCACACATCTTACATTGACGTACCACACATCTTACATTGACGTACCACACATCTTACATTGACGTACCACACATCATACATTGACGTACCACACATCATACATTGACGTATCACACATCTTACATTGACGTACCACACATCATACATTGACGTACCACACATCTTACATTGACGTACCACACATCATACATTGACGTATCACACATCTTACATTGACGTACCACACATCATACATTGACGTACCACACATCTTACATTGACGTATCACACATCTTACATTGATGTACCGCACATCTTACATTGATGTACCGCACATCTTACATTGACGTACCACACATCTTACATTGACATACCACGCATCTTACATTGATGTATGTGTCATTCCATGACGTACCACACATCATACATTGACGTACCACACATCATACATTGACATACAAACGTCATACATTGACATACCACGCATTTTACATTGACGTACCAAACATCTTACATTGATGTACCATGCATCATACATTGACGTACAAACGTCTTACATTGACGTACCACGCATTTTACATTGATGTACCACACATTTTACATTGATGTACCACGCATCATACATTGACGTACAAACGTCTTACACTGACGTACCACGCATTTTACATTGACGTACCAAACATCTTACACTGACGTACCATGCATCACACATTGACGTACTACACATCATACATTGACGTACCACACATCTTACATTGACGTACCACACATCATACATTGACGTACCACACATCATACATTGACGTACAAACGTCTTACATTGACGTACCACGCATTTTACATTGATGTACCACACATTTTACATTGATGTACCACGCATCATACATTGACGTACAAACGTCTTACATTGACGTACCACGCATTTTACATTGACGTACCAAACATCTTACACTGACGTACCATGCATCACACATTGACGTACTACACATCATACATCGACGTACCACACATCTTACATTGACGTACCACACATCATACATTGACGTACCACACATCTTACATTGACGTACCACACATCATACATTGACGTACCACACATCTTACATTGACGTACCACACATCATACATTGACGTACCACACATCTCACATTGACGTACCACACATCATACATTGACGCACCACACATCTCACATTGACGTACCACACATCATACATTGACGTATCACACAACGTACATTGATGTACCACGCATCATACACTGACGTACCACACAGAGTAACATGACATATATCACACAACGCACATTGACGCACCACAAATCTTATATTGACGTAGCACATATCATACATTGACGTACCACACATCATACATTGACGTACCACACATCATACATTGACATACCACACAGAGTAACATGACATCACACAACGTAAAATGCCAAACAGTTAAGTGTGATGTACTTACTATACCCAAACCCAAACCCAATCAACTCAATCTTCTTACCTGTGTCTGAACCATAAATGGTCTTTGTTTCCTCATTTTTATGACTTTACCAAATATATCAACCTGGATCATAGTGTAGAAATATTCTAGAAGGTGATACAATGCAATAAAGACACCTGTTCGACCAACACCAGCACTGAAAGTAAAAGGAAAGAACATAGTATGAAATCATTTTTACACAAATCGTTCACTGAATAATGGCCTAGTTTTAAGTAAAATTGAAATTAAGTTTCAAAATTCAAAATATCATGTCATAATATCAGTGCATGTGTGTACTCTTTTATTCTGTATAGGTTATAGAATGACAAGCGTTTTTTGCGAGGTCACTGTTGATCTCTCATGGATACTTATAGCCAGCCATGTTAGAAATATTATTGATTCTTACTACTACATTGTGGACTATCAAGCGCAGGTGGTGTCGTGATAAGATTAGGATTTATCCAGTCTACATATAGCTTGCATACCAGCGTTTTAAAGTCCTAGTAAAATTGGTTGCTATGTAAAACTGTTTTGGTGGGCTCGACCCTGTCGCAGATGCGTAGTAATGGTGAAATTGTACCTTTAACTTGCTGATAATTCTCAAGTGTGTCAGACTTTCAACGTAAATATTGATAAGTCGTTATAAATTGTTCTTTTTACCTGCAGTGTACTAGTATTGGTCCGCTATTTGGCAAGACTTGAATTCGAATAGCTTCAATAAATCGGATCAATGGGTCAGCATCGTACGGCGTCCCTGTGATTGGCCACGATGTAAAGTGAAACTGGCGTAATGCACGAATTTCACCATTCTGTTAAAAATAAGGCAGTACAAGAGAATTAGACATATCAACAACAGTAAACATTTCATTGAGATACACAAATTAATATCATAAGTTTCGCTTTGCACATTTCTAGTAACAATTTGTTTGTTATACAAAGAAATGGTATGTCAATTTTGAAACAGGTTAATTGGAGACTCACTATACTTACTTAAATTTAAAGGGAAGTGGTCGTCGCGCCACGTCCTGTTCGATGTGGGACTCATAGCGACGTATACAAAGCGTGTAAGATGCATTGTTTATGTACCTGTGATTCGAACACTCGCCCTTCAAACACTTAAAAATTTCTTCAGTGTTGCACATCATTTCAAAATAAGTTTGAATTATGTTGAACAGTGCTCAGTTGATATAAATACTTACAGATTCTATTGAAAAGTCTCGTATTATCCAATCGGGAAGCCTGGTTTCAGATGTTAGTCTTATTGTGAGATCACTGTGCGAAATCTGTGTCTGGGTATCTCGTGGCCAGTAGTGGTGACATTTACTCTGTACAATTTAAAAATGAAAAGCAGTATTATTATTGCTACAGTCTGACATAACTGAAAACCGATGCATGCGCTTTACCGAATTGTTCATGCTGGTCATATTCTTACCAGCCCGTTTTAAGACATGACAAGAATAGACAACTTTTATGCAATAATTTATCGTTTCTTGTGCTGACTGCAAGTTTGTTGTTATGCTTTGTTAGTCACTTCTGTGTAAACTATGGTTGCCTTGTATGGTGATTTTTATAATGCACATAAAATTAGAAAACATTGTTGCCGAAATGAGGCATGAATAACAAAACATAAAGTCAAACTTATATTACACACATTTATATTACACACATTCTACACACTTGCAGCATACTTGCAATAAACATGCTATTCTGTCCTTGGTTGTGAAGAATGATTACATGTGTACATATTCGAATGTCAAACATTTGTTATGGTATTTTGAACGAATCTTTGCAGGGCAAGATATCGCGACAACTTCATTTAACGCACATGTACTGAGCATTCAACAATAGACTCATAATACTGACCTTTCCAAGTTCGTTGCATTGCGTCATCATGACGACAGTGGTCACGCGTTGTTGCCAAATCATTTTCCAGAAATCGCCACAAGTGCTTTCCAGTGGTCCTTGTGTTGCAATATACGATCGTGAGCCTTTGGAACCCTGGGAAAAATCATTAATGCACTTGTTTTTTTGTTTTAGTAAACCAAATACTACGAGGAATAGGCAGAAAATGGAATAATACAACTATAGTGACCACTTAAGATATTTATAGAAATGTTAATTCAATAATATTTGTTAGCAGATACTGTATATTTAAATATGAAATAAATACATATTCTTATTTGTCTTGAAAACATTGAAAAAGACAATCTACAGATTTCTGTAAAACACTAAACATTCAATCGTCTCCATTGTTTTTAGGTTTTACACAAATGGTCATTCAACAAAGTACCAAAAGGTCGATTTTAGAAACTCGTCTAGGTTAGCCCGAGATAGTTCTGATTACAAGATAATTTTAACACAAACAATATGGTTTATTAGGTAAACCAATGACGACAAGATGAAATTTCTGACAAATAAATGCAGAATTGACTTGACCTTATTGCTAGTAAGTGGAGAAAACAATATGCAACACATGGTGTATGTGTGTGTAACTTACCGAAATATAACTGGCATTAATGTAACTATTCCCACTGCCTGACAATATAACTCTGTTATTATCATCTATACCGGGAAAAAATAAATGAAAATTTATTATGAAATAAGTTTTTTCTCGTGCCATGAGATATTATCGCATAACTATTGAGACACAGCTGCAAGTTTCAGAATTTCAATAATGTTGCATTTTGGGAAGAGGAAGAATATGCAATAACAAATTTAAGTGACGTCATATACATTGTAGGAGTCAACCAATTATCAAACTCACAGGGTACAATGTTAGTGTATCTGTTCTTTGATCTGTGTTCCATTCGCTGTCCCACCGATGTTGGCTGTCTCACTACTAGTTTTCGGAGATCCTACATTAAACAAACACATAGTGGAGAATGTTACATAGTGAATTAACTGTGGACTCATTTACATTTTTTTTGAAATTCATATTCTAACTAGAATTGCATGAGCTTACTCTGACTAATAACAACATGTACAGAGGGCATTTTTATATGTACCAGTAGACTCAACACATTCTGTATTATATATTGGCAGAATGTTTTTAATCAGTAACAACTATTCCTACACGAACTTAGAGTCGATATAATAACCATTGCGAGCTTATATAGTATGTGTAAGTTAGTGTTGAGTTAGTGTTTTTATTCAAGCTAGGCAATCCAGAAACCCATTTGCCGGGACTTTGATTAATACTCTGGGTCTTTTTGAAAAGATACATAGATTCCAGTAATGTCTGCCACACTTACGTCATATTCCTCTTCAAATCCTTTCCTGTCGTCTTCGTCTAATTCATTCACATAATCACGAAAACCTTTCAACGGTACTGGTCTGTAAAACATAGTATGAATATTTATGTAATTTTCAAATATCATATAATTTGTCCTATAAGATGGCGACCTATACAATAATTGCATCATACCTTGATTTTCGTTTCCTCCTCAGTGACAGGGTATACAATTTCTCTGTTTTCTCAAGGGTGGGTTCATTCCCATTAAAAAACACACCATTCTCGCACGCATAGGGCGTATATGACGGGGGTTCCGATAACCTGAAAGCAGTATACGTTTGCAAATAATAAAAGACTGATAGATAAGATGTATTTAAAGATGCGAGTAACTGCAGAGAGTTTCTACAAATTAGTGGATTCCATGAATTCAAATTCATCAAAATTAGTAAACAAGCTTCACAACTTTAACCTATCAGCCGTAACGTTGCCGCTTCTGAAATATTTTTTCACAAGTTGTATACCAATGATCATTTCATGTCAGTATTCGCAATAATGTAATAATATATGCCAATACTTACTTGTCTGAGTCTTGCGTCGATGATCGTCTTCTTCTACAACAGCAACAATAACATATACATATCAGTATAATGATGCCAATTAATATTAATCCTGCTATGACACCATACAGAATCCAGAATGGATCTAAATCTACAAAATAATTAAACAAAATTAAGAATCATATATGAAATCATAATAGTTATATTTACTGAACCTCTATATTTCTCTCACATTACAATTTTCTCGTGTAAGCATTCATGAATTTTGTAGTTTGGTTTATAAACGTATATTCGTTCATTGTTTACCTGTTTTTTGTGGAAGTGACCAGTCCGTATCGGTGTAGTTACCAAGTTCATTGTAGCCACGAATGACATACCTAGAATAAACATATGACATAGATTGTACTTATTAAGTGGAGGAGAATAAACAGGGGCAAACAGGAATTGCGGGAAACGCTAGATATTTTAGGCGAGCAATTTGAATCCAAAAACGTGTTTCCTTATTGCAAACTCTCTATCAACTTGCATATCATGTGACGCACAAGTCTAACCAAAATACGTACCGTAAGATTTTGTTGTACCCGAGACTAGACGATTTTGAAAAATCTATGAAAAATGGACTAGTGAATCTGTCTGAAGTGTATGCGAGTTCCCATGATAACATACTGAGATATACATGAAGACGGCCAATCAGTGATGACACAGAACTTCCGAATACATAGTAATATAGCAATTCACTAGACCATTCGTGAGTGTACTCAAAATAACTAGATTCATGGCTACCGGGAAACTGTAAGTTTTGATATTTTGCTAAGACCCCAAAACGTGAGGGTTGTGAGACGAGAGTTCAAATTTGGTGTAGGTATATGAAACAAATAAATGACAATATTAACATAACATATTGAAACATTAAAGACACAGTCACACACCCTCACCTGTAGTCTGTAACTGGTCTTAAGGCCCCATTACAGTAAACAAGACTGACATCACAATTCTCCTTGGCGCCTATGATGTAATTAACAGTCTGCAGTGTATTGCGTCGCCGTCTACCAATCGATAAAGTCTCAAATGGATTGAATGGCTGACTGGTTTGGTATGGTGGCCACGGCGAGCTGTCAATGACTTCATCATATGATGGAAGAACCTCTGGCAATGGTGAATACTCACCTGCAAAGTATTCAGGAAAAAAAAACATTGATGATTTCATGAAATCAAAAATACTTTTGACATTTAACTAGAAATCAAAATGGCAACAGAAATCTGACTAGAAATCAAAATGGTGGCAGATATCTGACTAGAAATAAAAATGGAAACAGAAATCTGATTAAAAATAAGAATAGAAATCAAATGGCTTCAGCAATCTGACTAGAAATCAAAATATTGGCAGATATCTGACAATAAATAAAATGGCAACAGAAATCTGACTAAAAATAAGAATAGAAATCAAATGGCTTCAGAAATCTGACTAAAAATAAGAATAGAAATATGATGAGAAATCAAAATGGTGACAGAAATCTGACGAGAAATCAAAATGCAGATGGAAATATGATGAGAAATCTAAATGGCAACAGAAATCTGACTAGAAGTTCAAATGGTGACAGAAATCTGACGAGAAATCTAAATGGTAACACAAATCTGACTAGAAATCTAAATGGCAACAGAAATCTGACTAGAAGTTCAAATGGTGACAGAAATCTGTCGAGAAATCAAAATGGTAACAGAAAGCTGACTAGAAATTCAAATGGTGACAGAAATCTGATGAGAAATCTAAATGGCAACAGAAATCTGACTTGAATTCAAAATGCTGACAGAAATCTGATGAGAAATCAAAATGGTAACAGAAATCTGATTAGAAACCAAAATGGCGACAGAAATCTGACTTGAATTCAAAATGCCGACAGAAATCTGATGAGAAATCAAAATGGTAACAGAAAGCTGACTAGAAATTCAAATGGTGACAGAAATCTGTCGAGAAATCAAAATGGTAACAGAAAGCTGACTAGAAATTCAAATGGTGACAGAAATCTGATGAGAAATCTAAATGGCAACAGAAATCTGACTTGAATTCAAAATGCGGACAGAAATCTGATGAGAAATCAAAATGGTAACATAAATCTGATTAGAAACCAAAATGGCGACAGAAATCTGACTTGAATTCAAAATGCCGACAGAAATCTGATGAGAAATCAAAATGGTAACAGAAAGCTGACTAGGAATTCAAATGGTGACAGAAATCAGATGAGAAATCTAAATGGCAACAGAAATCTGACTAGAAGTTCAAATGGTGACAGAAATCTGACGAGAAATGAAAATGGTGACAGATATCTGACGAGAAATCAAAATGGCGACAGAAATCTGACTCGAATTCAAAATGGCGACAGAAATCTGATGAGAAATCAAATTTGTGACAGAAATATGACTAGAAATTCAAGTGGTGACAGAAATTTGACGAGAAATCTAAATGGCAACAGAAATCTGACTAGAAATCAAAATGGCGACAGAAATCTGATGAGAAATCAAAATGGTAACAGAAATCTGACGAGAAATCTAAATGGCAACAGAAATCTGACTAGAAACAAGAATGGCAACAAAAATCTGACTAGAAATCAAAATGGCAACAGAAATCTGTCTAGAAATCTAAATGGCAACAAAAATCTACCTAGAAATCAAAATGGTAACAGAAATCTGACTCGAAATCAAAATGGTGACAGAAATTTGAATTGAAATCAGAAAAGTGATTATAAAAATCAAAATGGCAACAGAAATATGACAAGAAATAAAAATGGTGGCAAAGATCTGACTAGAAATAAAAATGGCAACAGAAATCTGACTAAAAATAAGAATAGAAATCAAATGGCTCCAGAAATCTGACTAGAAATCAAAATACAGACAGAAATATGATGAGAAATCAAAATGGTGACAGAAATCTGATGAGAAATCAAAATGCAGACGGAAATATGATGAGAAATCTAAATGGCAACAGAAATCTGACTAGAAGTTCAAATGGTGACAAAAATCTGACGAGAAATCAAAATGGTAACACAAATCTGACTAGAAATCTAAATGGCAACAGAAATCTGACTAGAAGTTCAAATGGTGACAGAAATCTGACGAGAAATCAAAATGGTAACAGAAAGCTGACTAGAAATTCAAATGGTGACAGAAATCAGATGAGAAATCTAAATGGCAACAGAAATCTGACTAGAAGTTCAAATGGTGACAGAAATCTGACGAGAAATCAAAATGGTAACACAAATCTGACTAGAAATCTAAATGGCAACAGAAATCTGACTAGAAGTTCAAATGGTGACAGAAATCTGACGAGAAATCAAAATGGTAACAGAAAGCTGACTAGAAATTCAAAATACCGACAGAAATCTGATGAGAAATCAAAATGGTAACAGAAATCTGACTAGAAATCTAAATGGCAACAGAAATTTGACTAGAAGTTCAAATGGTGACAGAAATCTGATGAGAAATCAAAATGGTAACAGAAAGCTGACTAGAAATTCAAATGGTGACAGAAATCAGATGAGAAATCTAAATTGCAACAGAAATCTGACTAGAAGTTCAAATGGTGACAGAAATCTGACGAGAAATCAAAATGGTAACAGAAATCTGATGAGAAACCAAAATGGCGACAGAAATCTGACTTGAATTCAAAATGGCGACAGAAATCTGATGAGAAATCAAAATGCCGACAGAAATCTGATGAGAAATCAAATTTGTGACAGAAATCTGACTAGAAATTCAAGTCGTGACAGAAATTTGTAGAGAAATCTAAATGGCAACAGAAATCTGACTAGAAATCAAAATGGCGACAGAAATCTGATGAGAAATCAAAATGGTAACAGAAATCTGACGAGAAATCTAAATGGTAACAGAAATCTGACGAGAAATCTAAATGGCATCAGAAATCTGACTAGAAACAAAAATGGCGACAAAAATCCTAACCAATTATATGTTGTTCAAACAAGTAATTGTTGAAACTCTTCATTCATATGCTTATTATTTCCACTTCTTCTGTAACTGAAATTAAATATTAGTGAGCATGGAAATCGCACTCACCTCCGTCCTCAGCAATGATAACTAAGTAAGCAACAATTATTCCAAATCTGTCATCAAATAAATTATTACTTAGGTGAATACGCAATGTGTAGGCGGTGGTCTCAACAAACCGAACATTTGCCGTAATACGTGAAGCAGTTGGTTTCGGTGGAGCTATTGAAAAATTAGAACAGTCGTTTTAAATATTATGCGGACTATACTTATTTTCATGATGAGTTTCAAGTTATAACACCATCTGTCGTTTTCCATGCTAGAATGGGGCGGTTAATTTTTAGCTTACGCAATATATCGGGAGTGGAAATCCCCATATCGAACATATCGAAGGATATACGCAGACAAAGATGATATCACGTGACATAAGAAGTCACAAATGATGGATTAATATTTGTGATTATTCTCCAAATAGTGGGATGGCGATCTGAAACATAGACATCACTCACAATTTATCCTAATACAAGCCTGTCAACTTGAAATTGAAATGATCACAACGTCACTTTTCAATAAAGTATATTCTAATGAAACTTACGATAGATTGGCATGATAACTTGACCAGCTGTTCGCAGAGGTCCGATGCCTAAAGAGTTTTGTGGTTTCACCTGTGAAGTAAAAAACTTATATTATAATCGAAAAAAAATTACCAGATGAAATTAGTACGCTGAGAGACAGTGGTTTGTGGACCGCCATCACTATCAGACTAGTCAAATAAACACTGCCGCCGTAACGGCAGATTCGCTTATAAAAGTGAGGTGCTTAATGCCCTGTACAAATTTGTAGACAAGCTAGTAAATACAGAAAATGCAGTATTTCCCAAAACTCAGACACCCATTGTACTCACTGTAAACGTATACGTGTACCCGGCTATCACATCTTCCAGTAAATATTCTGTGATGTCATCAGTCTCGTCTGGTGGTATTTCAAAGTCGAGGATATGTGGAGGGAATCCCTGTCAAAAAAGCAATAAAATTATTGAGAAAAACACAATCATGTAGGATAAGAAGATTTAGATGTGTCACATTTGTCTTGATTTCAATTTACAGTGCGTAATATACCCATATATATTGCGCCCTCTAGCAGCCCCGTAACGTCAAAATTGCGTATTTCCTGTGTTTGGCTGCGTACTTTCTCAAAAACTGTATATATTTTTGGCGGGTAACTACAATTTTGCCCTGAATGGTCTATTTTTCAGCGCCACAGAAGCACGTTTTCGCTCATTGTACAACCTAGAGAAAATAGTGTTTTATGTTGTGTATTTCAATTTGATCAACCTTTTGGTTACCATGGATACTTACCTCCTTGTAGCCAACAACGTTGACAATATATGACTCCAATATGCCATTGGCGAATGACGGCTGTTGAATGGTTAGCGTTACTTGGTAGGGCGACTCTACAGTTACGTTAAAACCTTTAACTGAAGACGGCACTGAAATAAAATAAACTTGACGTTTTATTCAACCATGGCAAATAACGCAATATCTGAAGACAGGTGTTTGACATAAAAGGCACACTAGTTAGGTACATTTGTGTATAGTGTTCCCGGAATAGTGTTGTGGTTCACACGATAAACCATATGTCTGATGCCTCTGCCTAGTGAGCACGAGTAATTCTGATGTAATATAGGCGGGCGCTTGAGTAACCAATGGGAATGGAGTACTTACAGTCAGGATAAGTTGTTGCTGTGATGCCCCTTTCTCTGCTATACATATCGTCAATTCTAGTTTGTACTGTGACCGTGTATATGGTAAATGGATAGAGATTGGTTATGTTCACAGAGGTGCCATTCAACGTAAACGGCGATGCTGGTGTCGCCCCCTCTACGAATGGCGCATACGTCACGTAGTACTCCACAGCCAATCCACTGATTGCTGGCAACCATGATATTTGAACACTAGACGACGTCACTCCGTTCACAGACAGACGGCCGGGTGGCGCAAGCACTGAAATTAAAAAAAATTGAAATGTATTTTTTAGTCAGGTAATTGCCACACAATCCACTAGAAAATCACCCATTTAATAGCGCTGCATGAGTTTGAAATCTCAATCACAAACGGAATGCTCGGCTATGTCCAGAAGCTTTTGGTTGTTCATTTGTCTGTTTGTTATGACACAAAACTTTCCACACAATTAAAAAGACAATATAGCTTCAATAGCGTGCTTGACAAAGCGCGAACCCATCCAATAATGTTTTCCTTTCACTTTTATTAAAGGAAACTAATTTTATATTCACTTACGTGTATTAAATGTTGTTGAAACTGACTGACTTGTAAGTTCACCACTCCGTGTACTGACGTGGACAGTATAGACAGTCGCAGGGCTTAAACCGGACAATGACAGCTGTGGCGTTTGACCATGGTTCACACGTATTGGTAACGCAGTGTTGACACTAGCTGAAGAATACGTGACAAGGTAAAAGTTGAAATCACCAGATGATGGTTCCCAGTTCACAATTGCTCCGAATTCTGTAATCCTGGATACGACAATGCTTCCGGGTGGACTCGGTTCTAGATAAGATAATGAGAAGAAAAGTTAGTAGTAATTAATTATTTAATTATCATTAGCAGATTTCAATCTGTGTATCCAACACTGAATTTGTTTTTAACAAATCAACTTGAAATATTATAAATATAAGTTATTCTTAAAATCAACTAAAAATTTTAAAAAATAAACTAAAATTTTAAAATCAATTGAATTTCCAAATAATATTGTCCAATATCATGCAATCTAGCTACTCTCTTTGTCCAAAATTCTATAATTGTTCAACTGCAGGGAAAATGTTGGGGGGACAATTTGATACTGAATAAGTATATGGGACTCGGTCGTTAAACTTGGTCCCCATGCTAGGTTTGAAACATTTAACTTGGGTTTCACCGGGAGTACTGCCGCAATGGACAGTTCGCGGGTGGACAGAAGCATGATCACAGCAATAACACTAAACTCGAACACTTTATTATTGCAGAATTCCTGAAGGAACTGAACACTAACACAATGTAACACAATGTCCAGTAGCACGTACAAAACTATGTAGGTTTACAATGCAAAGTTCCACTACAAAACTTACAGCAGACAGCTCACTGGTAACAACAACACAACTAGAAAATTCTACTTTTTTGAATAGGGGGGTCCCCTATTGAGAGTAAAAGCCTGCAAACAGTTCTGATTGGTCAAACAGCGATCACTCTCACATCATGAATAAATGGAACAGTAAAACGAAATAATCGATGTACTATGTAAAGATACAATAAATGATAACGAAAGAAATAATATATTATTGATTGCAAATATTCTCGATGTATTATTGATAGTCTCAATGACAGAAAATATCTGGTATCCTAGACTTTTTTTTTCAGTAATATAAGATTTTCGCTTTATAAATCAAGTCTTTTTTTCAATATATTTTGCAATGTTGAATCTACTACTCTTGACATCACTTTATGTATGCCATCATGTCCATATGTCAGTCACTTACACATTTGACTATTAACTGTGGTGTATTCGTTGGTTGTTTTGTGTTATTGGACTTGTAAAATCTGCTTCAATGACTATGAATTTGAATATTGTTTGGATATATTGTTATTTCTGTTCAAAATAAGAAACTCCTCAATTTTTGAAGCAAGATTATTAAAATTGAGAGAATGGCCAATATTGCAATTTTACACTGGTCATTTTATTGACAACTTAGTTACGCCACCGAAATGTCGTCATCATCTGACTGCGATCCGACATTTTATTCACGATTGACGTCACAATATTGACGTAATTTTTCCAGCAACAATGGATTACTAATATGATAGTATACCTGTTTGTTGGTATTTTCTGTCCGAATTGCTGGTAATTCTTCCACCGTCAATATCAGCGACAATTTTTACTTCTAAAGTATACAGTCTCCCGGGCACCAGGTCGGTGATGACGTAACTAGTCTTATTTAAATCTAGCTCTATTGGTATTGGTTCAGCGTCCGTTGGAAAATACGATAAATGTAACATCCCGTGTGATAGTCTGTTGTCCACATAGGTTGCCACGGTGATGGTATCCATGGTGAAGCTGGTGACTTCCAACACGGGTGGAATAGTTCCTGTCCAAAACAAAAATGTTATATCCGTGAACGTATTATTATAAACATACATTGTATATTAAATCAACTTCATTTCTCGCTTGAGAATTTTGTTTGAAAGTTTAAATTCTGGGAACATCTTCGTGCCTGTTGACCTTAGCCTGTATGCCTTCTCATTGCCTCCTGTAGTACTGTAAAATCTGTATTAAAAGCCACAGCTTCTATTAAAATGGTACAATGCAACAGAGGGGGTGCGGCTTCCATTAGAGTATCTACACATATGAGAAATGGTGAATTTTTGGGTCTCAATAGTTAAAAAAAAATGGGTGCGGCTTCTATAAAGGATGCTGCTTTTAATACAAATTTTACAGTACTGGTCTCAGTTGCATAGTACATTGCTGGTTGTTACATTACCCATTGAGGCGACAAACCATTAGTTCACAGTAAATCATTCAAAACTTGTTGTGTGATGATTCACATACATGCAAGTCACTATTTTCTAAAAGTTTTACGAAGAAACAAATATTTATTCTCAAGAAATCATATGCAAAATTATCCAAAAGTTATCCAAATTGCTTTTTATTCCAGAATTTTGAACAGTAACCCAACCCCTTTTGCGGGATTTCGAGGATTTCTGAGTATGTTGTTTAATGATAGCAAACTACCTGCACCTTATCTGGTAGACGAAATAGTAACTGAAATAATTAATTAATGCACTTGTTTAAATAATTAATGGGAATACTACATTGCAGGATGCTGCGATAGCGACACGGAAATATTGCTCTTACCGGTAATGACTTTGACGGGTACCTCCTTACTTTGTAAACTACCGGCGTACGTCACGATTGTGATGACGTACTGTGACATCGGTGATAGACCAGAGAATGACGCGGTCGTTGAATCACTCGGTAGTGTGATCGGTAAGGTTGCTGTCCCCTCAGAAGGTTGTATGGATATCACGTATGTAGAAACAACTCCATCTGGTCTGTCCCAAACTACGTGAATTTCAGTTTCAGTTACCATGGATACACGCAATGAATCAACTTTCTCAGGAACTGAAAAAAGAAAAGAATTATGAAATAAAGCTTCATCGTAGTTTTGTTACGATGAAATATGGTAAAACCTATCTTCAGATGAGACATGAACACACTACATTTTGAGTTGAGTTTCCGCATTTTTCACTTTTACAGTACAAAATGCAAATTTTCATTCTATATATCGTCAAACATAGTTATTGGAGTGGCAAATGAGTCACGCAATAGAATAGAATAGAATAGAATAGAATAGAATAGAATAGAATAGAATAGAATAGAATAGAATAGAATAGAATAGAATAGAATAGAATAGAATAGAATGTCCACCTCATAAACGTGGCAGAGATCCAGATTTCTTGATCACGCCACCAGTGACAAACTACGTTGATGCATGTAGAACGATTTTCTTCCTGTTAAAGACGGTGGTCGCTGCTCTGCGCATATGCAACATTTGTGCATTTCTAATGAAAATCACAGTACAAGTTTTGACCTGAGTGCAACGTTCATTAATTACTGCTGATGACTCCCTAGATGCCTTCGAATCACCAAACAAATTATCTAGTTAAAACTTGCAAACGCCCACGTCTCAGTTTATATTTGTTGGTCTGCACAACAGTCAAAGTCGCCATCTTTGTTCATCTGAGTCCAATATCTCGCGCATGCGGGGTGCGACGACCACGCCCCTTAAAGTCAAAACAAAGTTTAACTAACTTACATGTTCTTTGTGTGTACTGCGTAACACCTGTACTTTTGGGGAAACCATTTTTGGCAATACCGACACTGATAACATATTCCTGTCCAGACTCCAAATCAAAGAAGCTTGCTTCACGCGGTTCATCTCTCTCAGTGATAAATGAGGAGGAAAGACCTGTCAGCGCTGGTGATACGTCAATGTAGTAGCCATCAAAGTCGCCGACAGCTTCGTCCCATCGTATCGTGAATGATGACGTTGTTACATTAATAGCGGAAATATTGAAGGCAACACCTAAACAACAGAAGATGGAATTAATATGAATTAGCTTCATAATAATACACGTACCAGTTCTACTTTGCTGTGAAGGCAAAAATGCACGTATTAATTTCATAATTTAAAAATAAAAATAGTAAAAAAGTTACTTACGTTGACAGCTCAAGTGAGCACATCCAGGTAAAGCATTTTCGTCTTGCAGGACACCTAACGTGAAATCTGGTTCAGCATTGTCTCCCTTGTGTAGTACAACACATAACTGAGTGAATTCACTACATTGTAAAGCCGACACGTCCAGCTCTACTTCAATATTGGACAAAACAGAGGGTATCCCGCCGATCAACTCGGTATCCTGTTGCGCTGCAGTAAGTGTCGCATACAGATTAACGAGTTTGGGCATTCTGACGTCATCGCTGGTGACGAATACCTCGAGTGCCCAACTGCCCGCTCCTGTTCTGTTCGTCCCGTATATGGATGACGTCATGCCAACGTTTATGCTAACTGCGTGTGCGTCATCTGCCTCGGCTACAATGTCTCCGTTCATGATAGTTGGCGCGACTTCAATTATTTCAACACCTAGGTATATTAAGCAATTTAGCATTTGTCATTCAAGTGTTACAATTTACGCACATGAATCTCATTAGATATATAAGAACTGTTGATCATGCACGAAGGTAACCGAACGAAACGAGATGAGAGTCAGATTTATTTCCAAACAACCAAATGTCGACGAACTCATTAATTTTAATACAACCCTGAATATAAATTTGGCTACGTGTACGTGCACACGAGATGTTCTCTATTTTGCCAGCAACTTTTTATAATACTTACCTTTACAAGAAACAGATCTACAACTAACTAACGTAGACCTGTCATATTCTATCGTGTACTCCGTATTGGCATTGCTGTTTTTATTTAGAATGGCGCATATGTTAAAAAACTGATGACACAGGACGCCTTCTAACGACAGGACCGATTTCACATTTGACATAAGTAAAACGCCACCAGCGTTCAGTGTAGTGTTTACTTCTTGTATAGTTCCATTACTCGTGTCGACAATGGCGTCTTCTATGCTTCGTAATTGTGTCCTTATATCCCAAAGGTTCATTCCACTGACGCCTGCCCCTGCTGATGACGCAAATAACGTCATAGTGTAGGAGATGTGCTGGTTATCTACCCCCTCCAATAAGTAGAAATCATCCGAGAGCTGCAAATCTGTGCTGATAATCACTCCTGGCGAGAAATATACAATTATATTACTTAATGGGTAAATTGAGAATACAAAGCAACATCTGTATCAACTAAGTTTGAGTATTAATTAGCATAATCACAATTAATCAATCAACCCTTTTCCATTCATGGATGGGCGTTTGCGCAGGATTGCCACTCAATTAACAATCTGCGTTGATTATTGAAAACACTCAAATACGCAATGAAAACAAAAGCAATTACTGTCACTACCACAGGTTGGCGCACTGCAAAAATAAAACGAAGAGCGCCGCCTATGGTGACAGAAAGAAAGATTTGTGTCGCCACATTTTAGTAATTGAAACAACAGTATAAATATTGACATACTTAATGACAATGCATGCTGGGAGTTGCAAAAAGTGCAGCTCAAAAAAACAAACAAAAAAACCCACCCGATATATTTTCGATCGTATGAACGACATATAATCGATTGTGTTAAAGCGCGGTGGTCGTCGCGCAGCGCGTGTTCGAATTTCATGTAAATAAACAATGTATTTTACACGCGTTGTATACGTCGCTATGAGTCCCATATCGAATAGGACGCGGCGCGACGACTGCAGCCCTTTAATCGCTTGAACACCAAAGACAATTTTAATCATCCCTTCACGAAACAAAAAGGATATTTTTCCTTAAATTTTGTTTTCAGTTCTGTATTGGATATTATATTCGTTTGGTCCAACATAACAAAGAAATTAAGGGGAAAATGCATAAAATGGCCTTTTTGAGAGAAGGAATGATGGCATTCACTTGATTAACCAGAAATAATTTTGTATTGTCTAAGACACAATGGCCGGAGAGTTCTCGTTGAGAGAGAGAGAGAGAAAGAACCACGAGACTTTGCTCAAATGTGTCCCACCCCGGCCTCTTACGTCATCGCGTCCCTGACCTACATGTATGTATGGAGCAATGATAGTTGGAACAGTGAACTCGATGACGGGAGAAAGAATCATTATTTGAGGGGCAATAAATTCTCAAGGTTTTCTCGCTCCCAACGGGATCTATCAAATGATGAACCCTGCTAATGCGCGTGCGCTTTTTAATTTATGGTACGTAATATCAAAGTAATAAAAGACAGTCTTCAACATTGTACAGCACTGCTCCTTTACTTAGTATCACTCATATTTGAATGTCGCCACTCGTTTGTATTTACCTTGTATTAGCACTATTACCTTAATATTTGTAAATATTCTAAATAAATCGCCTTAGAGTCACGTGATACTCACCAGTGCACGTTACGGGTTGACAGGCAGTGAGAATATTCTGGTCTGGTACACCAGTCAAAGTGTACTCTGGACTGGAATACCTTCCTTTGAAGACGGTGACGCAAATATACCGCATCTGGTCACACGTCAGGCTGTCTATATCCAGAAACGCCTCAATGCCCAGGAGAGCCAGCGTCACGCCTGCAGTGAGATCGGTATCCTCCACCGAGCTCAACACTGGGTACGTTGCCGCAAACGAATGGGTGTCGTCAAACTCAACATCGCTTAAGTAGACGTACATCTCCCACAGGCGATCACCTGATATGCTAGCTGCTGCCGGATTGGACGACAATAAGACGTCGAATGTCACGGAATGGTTCCCCGATCTTTCGACGATCGATGTACCGCTTTTTACGATCAGTTCCGTGTCAGTGATCTCAACACCTGAGAAAAATGATACAAGTAAAAAAGTAGTATGGTTAGTAATGATGAATCATGGGATTGCAAATATTTACACCATAGTTTGGTCGATATAATGTTGAACCGTTATCCCGAATTTCTGACCAAGTAAAGTTAATTTTTCGAAAGGATTTTGCAATTTCAAGATTTTCTAGAAACTGACATTATTCTTGAATAAAAGGCTCATTCCAATATCGGAGAAGATACAGTACTGTTGCGGTATCCATGGCAACACACACTGTATACTGATATGTGCGAAAAATAATTATCCTATTTTCATTAAGGCCAGTATTTGTTGCACCCTTCGACCGAATCGTTAACACATACGCTAATACGTTACAAGTGTACTTTTAAATTGTTTTACAACATTTCATATAACGGGATTAGATGTGTCTGGCTAATTTCCATATCAAGTACATATTTATGTACTCAAGTTATGTAACAATATTCTTCATTCTTCAAGTTGATATAATTTGAAATAACCGAACTATTCAACATCGTATATACAAACACGCGGATAAAATGTTATGAAACAGGAAAAACTGGTAACGGGGGGGGGGGGTACGACAATTCTCACAACAATTTTTATCATAGTTTAAGCAGCCTCACCTCGGCAGGTTATTTCTGCGCATGTCTGTAATTTACCAGTCAATGTGAACGCAGGCACTGACGTCTGATCACGTGACACATCGACACACAGATACCTTATCTGTCTACAGTTCAGCTCAGCCAAGTCCATAAACGCTTCGACCCCTTCCAAAATAGCATTGCTGCCAGCTAACAAACTCAGATCTCGCATATCCCGCGGTATATCAGCAACCGCGAGAGCACTGACGTCCCCGACATTAGCATTCCCTTGTGTGTTAACGTACATCGTGACGTTCCATAGACTGGCGCCCTCAATGTCTCCAAAATCCGGACTAGATAACAATGTAACGAAAACGTTGAAATACTGGGAAGATTCATGCTCTTTCACAACGATGCCGCTTACAATTGACAACCTGGTGTCAACGACATCCACACCTGTAATACAAGAAAACACTCGTAACTATCGTTACTGAAAATATGTTCCTCTTTTTTTCAGGCGCATTTAAATGCATCTTGTAAAACAAAAGCAGTGATTACGTGAGAACTTTTTCCACTTGAAATGTAGATGTTATAATGCATGTTTAGTATAAACACACACATTTAGAGTATTTCTCTTATGGTGATAAACTTTCATACACTCTCTTGTTTATTTGTTGGTTTATTTTTAATAAAATACATTATTATTGGAGTGTGTAAATGGTTAAACCGGGTTACGGCGAATCTCGGGTTACCGCAAAATACTAGTAAACAATTATTTCGCGGTAACCTGGCTTTTTCCATTTATACACCAATACTTTATTTTATTGAAGAAAACACCAACAAATAAACATAATGTATATTGGTCACGTGGTACGTCGGCCATTTTGAATTTAAGGCGAAAAATGGCATGCTCATTTGAACACCTTTCTGAGGGTCTAGGAGTCTCAAACTTTCACATTATATTGTGTGCAATTCTATTATATCATTAAAACATTGAGAAGTGGAAAACCGAAGGTTTAATAGCGAGATACAAAGAAAGTTAACAATGTGTAGAATTTGCAAGAAATATAGACCCACCTGTACATGGGGTTGGGGTGCAGGTCATTACGGGGTTTCCAAACGTAAAATCGGGATTAGAGAGACTACTCTTGCTGATATTAACGCAGAAATACTTGGATACATCTGAGCAAAGCTTATCAGTGATATTTATTGCAGACGAACGAAAACCAGTCCACGAAGCTGGAATACCACTATATAAGGACATTCCCGATTGGTCAGTTGTCAGACTGTGTACAGTTCCTGCATCTGTATTTCCATATCCGTCATTTGATTGGCTGAAGAATGATGTTAGTGTCCATAGATATTCCCCTTCAATGCTTCCAGCCTCAGGATCCGGATACAAAATAAGGTTAAATTGAAAGCTTTGGTCGTCCATACCTTCACGTAATTTGCTCCCAGTTACCACATCTACGAATGGAGCTATTTCCACACCTGTACCAAGAAGAACATAGCACTGGATTCATAAGTAAGTTGTATAAAATCTACTTAAACCAAAGGCAAAATTCTCTTTTCTATTGTTTTGATTAAACATTGTAAACTAATATTCATGTTATATTTTAACTTTTGGGGGGGAACATATTTTCTCAAATATAAAAAAATCAGAAGAAATTGTTATGTCTCTTTGTGTACGTGTAATATTTCTTGGTGTCAATGCCACTTAATCAAACTCGTATTTAATGACTCGAACTGGCATATGAGGTCAGGGAAACACCTGGCATCCCACGACTTGACTAAATATACTTTGCTATTTCTGATTTTAACGGCAGTCCCATGTCTATTGCCTCGCATTACGGGCTCATGGATTTATAATTGGGTGCAAGATGTCATTACTGGATTACTCATCTTATATATACTGAATACATATATTACAATAGATTAACAACTTTACTACATATACCAATATAATAGCAAGTTTGGATGTACTGGTACTGATTGGTACTGTATGAATTGATGTGAATAGTTATAATTCATAAAACAAGAACAATATTATTTACCTCTACAAAGTATTGAAACACAATCAACTGGTTCTCTGATGAAAACAAGATCAGTACCATTGCCATCATAGGCTATTAACTCAATACATATGTATGTCATTTCGGAACATAGGAGACCAGACAAGTTCATGTTGACAATTATATCATTAAACACTAAGTCTGATCCGGAGATTTGGAAGTTGTCAACCTCAACTTCATATGGACGCAATCTTTCATTTACGGTTTCATTTGTGGATGAAACATCTCTAATGTAAATGATTAACTTCCAGTCATTGTTCAAGCTCACTGATTGTAAACTTTCATTAGTTGATAATTTCAGATCAAATGTCAGTGCAACTGAATCAGACCATTCCCGGAGATAGGAATCATCTGCCATCTGTACTTCTGTCGAGGTGACATAGACAGCTGAAATAAAGATAATACAACCACGATTTAATAAAGGTACAAAAAGACATAAAAGCATAAAATACTGTACCATACCATACATGGCTACATTTAATAATGAAGCACCATAATTATACATACCTAGAATAGTTGGTAGGGTCGATAATACAACAGTTGTAGATTCAGTATCTTCTTCAGTTGGTCTCACCATTGTTGTACTATGTAGAGTTGAACGAGTAGCCACTTTTACTGTACTAGCAAATCTCGAACTATCTATAACCCCTGTTCCATCCTCTACTGTTGGCATCAAACCACTAGTCACCACTTCTGTACCATCTACTTTAGAACTACCGACAATCTCTGTTTCTTGCTTTTCTGTTTGTGTTACACCAGTAGTCATCACTCCTGTACCCATAACTGTGGAACTACCTACAACCTCTGTTTCTTGCTCTTCTGTTGGTGTTCCACCAGTAGTCACCATTTCTGTATGTACCACTGTAGAAATATCTACAACCTCTGTTTCTGGCCCTTCTGTTTGTGCTCCACCAGTAGACCCCACATCTGTACCCACCACTACAGAACTGCCTACAGACTCTGTTTCCTGCTCTTCTGTTGGTGTAAAACCAGTAGTCGTCACCTCTGTACCAGCTAATGTCGAACTACCTACAAACTCTGTTTCTTGCTCTTCTGTTGGTGTAAAATCAGTAGTCATTGTTTCTGTACCAACCAATGTAGAACTACCTACAAACTCTGTTTCTTGTTTTTCTGTTGGTGTAAAATCAGTAGTCAATATTTCAGTACCAACCACTGTAGAACTATCTACAACCCCTGTTTCTAATTCTTCTGTTGGTGTAAAATCAGTAGTCACTATTTCTGTACCAACCACTGTAGAACTATCTACAACCTCTGTTTCTTGTTCTTCTGTTGGTGCAAAACCAGTAGTCACTATTTCTGTACCAACCAATGTAGAACTACCTACAACCTCTGTTTCTTGCTCTTCTGTTGGTGTTCCACCAGTAGTCACCATTTCTGTATGTACCACTGTAGAAATATCTACAACCTCTGTTTCTGGCCCTTCTGTTTGTGCTCCACCAGTAGACCCCACATCTGTACCCACCACTACAGAACTGCCTACAGACTCTGTTTCTTGCTCTTCTGTTGGTGTAAAATCAGTAGTCATTGTTTCTGTACCAACCAATGTAGAACTACCTACAAACTCTGTTTCTTGTTTTTCTGTTGGTGTAAAATCAGTAGTCACTATTTCAGTACCAACCAATGTAGAACTCCCTACAACCTCTGTTTCTCGTTCTTCTGTTGGTGTAAAACCAGTGGTCAATGTTTCTGTACCAACCAATGTAGAACTATCTACAACCTCTGTTTCTTGTTCTTCTGTTGGTGTAAAATCAGTAGTCACTATTTCTGTACCAACCAATGTAGAACTTTCTACAACCTCTGTTTCTAGTTCTTCTGTTGGTGTAAAATCAGTAGTCACTATTTCTGTACCAACCACTGTAGAACTATCTACAACCTCTGTTTCTTGTTCTTCTGTTGGTGTAAAATCAGTAGTCAGTGTTTCTGTACCAACAAATA